GCTAATCGCGTCTTAATAGTTCCTAGGGTTTAATTAAAGTAGCCGATACATTAGGCCAGAAGTCTAGGAAAAGCTATAAAACCTTCTATCTATCAGGCCTACCCGCTATAATCTATGCTATATTATAGTTAATCCTAAAGCCTAGTCTATTATTTACTTCTTCTTAGACCTCAGGGCTATCTAGCCCTGTTTTACAGTTATTTAGCTGCGTCGCACTGACTTCCCAAGATCTAAGGCTAAAACGACCTAAACTTGTAGCTAGGATCGAATCGTGGTCAAAAGATAGGATGTGCATGGTTACGCTAGCATTGAAGCTCTGAACATTGATGCCCGTCGCAACGTTCCATATCTTGATGGCATTGCTGTAAGATCATGATGCGATGAGCGTGCTGCCATTCGAAAAGGCTCCGAACGGCGTTCGTCCAGTTACCTATCGCAGAAGGCGCCTCTTTTGACTCCAAGAGAAGAACATAACCCACATACTTGCATGGTACGCGCCAAGAACTTCTTAAACAAGTAGACCGCTGGATTGATAGCTCCAAGTTCAAGACAATCTTCTAGCTCAATGACATAGCGGGAACTCGAAATTCAACTATCTCACAGACCGTTACGCATTCGCGATTAAAGTAAGGTGATCTTAGTGCCAGCTTCTTCAAGAGAGGAGAAATAAACAGAGGCAACTTAAACAAGTTAATATCGACTCTGGCTTACCAACTAGCTTCAAGTATTTTAAAAGTTATATTCTTTATAAAAAAGCTACTTAATAATAATCCAGCCATTATAGGAACATTAATACAGGATCAGTTTCTAAAGCTTATCTAAGAACCACTATCTAAAGCAGCAGCGTCAGCAATAGCCATGCCTCTAGTTATAATAGTGATCGACGCGTTAGATAAGTGTAATCGAGAGGCTAATATCAGGTCACTAATCAACATCTTATCGCAAGCCAAGACTATTCCCTAACTCCAGGTATTCTTAACAAGCAGGCCAGAACTTCTAATTTAACTAGGGTTTAGCGAGGTATAGGGTTTCTATTAAGACTTAATACTACACAACATCCCGGCACAGACCGTAGAGCATATCATGTATATCTTTTTAGATGGCTAGTTTCAGAAGATTTAACGCAAGTTCAAGTTAACTGTGCGATAAACGGAAGCTGGCGTTGAACTAGCCAGGGCGTCCGACAGTACAGAGACTCGCAGAAATGGCAGTACCCCTATTTATCTTTGCAGTAACCACTTGCCGGTTTATTGGCGACCGTCGACGCAGTCCTCAGTTGCGATTGCAAACAGTTTAGGTTATGGGAAGAGAAGCCGCGGGTCTTAACTCAATCGAATCTACGCGCCGACACCTAGCTTATAGATCACTGCAATGCCTAAAGAGGAGAGAGAGGGGAATATTAGAGACTACAGAGTTATCAGTGGTAGCATCGTTATCCTTGTAAGCCCGCTACCGGTGATATTACTGTTACGTTTAATTGACGTTCCTACAAAAGTCCTAGATAAAAGATTAGATACGCTTTATTCAGTCTTTAGCATCCTATCTAAACATATATTGCCTATCCTGTTGCTGAATTTATCGTTCCGAGACTATCTTGAAGGCCTGGAGAAAAGATAGTTAGTTGAGCTTTGGGTAGACGACAGACATACTTATCAAAACTCTGCTTGCGCATTATGCGGGGCGGCCAGCGGAAGAACATATGTGGCTTATCTTTTCCCGGTATGCGTCGATCTGCAGTGCACTGGCGATGGCTTGGCCAGTTATTGTCACCTATTGTATATCCAGTCGCTTTGAACTATGAGTGACCGGGTTAAATCAAGCGCGAGGATGTCCCCTACATGATTTACATCGTAAAGGATAGAGTATAACAGCGAAATAAAGTCTGACCAGTCATATTGACTATATATAGACCGGTTACCAACGATCTTCATATGCTAGAACCTTGACACCGGCTGTTCCCTTTCCAATACCCAGGGTCGGAGTTGGCTCCAGAGTATCAGTCACTAAACGCCGAAGCTGGCAAACAAAGGCAACAAATTCGCCTAGCGTGCCGGAACCACCCATATCCTCGACCTCACCCCACGGAAGCTGTTCTAGTTGCCTATCCCCATGTACTACATCGTCGATCATTACCTCTGTAAGTCGGAAGCTGTCTGCCTCAAAAGCCTTGGCCTCTACCCTGTCGAGCTCCTTTCTTGATGGTACCCAATGCTTTCGCTTCAGTCTATAGTTGATGAGCCACAGCGTTTCGAGCCCTCCAAATCTTGCACCATATACGATGTAACAACATAAAGAGTCAAGGCTCCTGACCCAGTGCTACTCGTGCAAGCTTGCAGCCCAGTTTGTCTCATATTCCCAGCCCACGTTTCGTATTTGCAAGGGGACCGGTGCTGTGCCCACAGGAATGATGTCGTCAAACAAAGTCCAGCCAAACATGTCAGAATCATCAAGCTGGAGGATAAAGAGATCATGGCTTGGCGATACGATAATGCGACGCCGATGGGATAGGCTATCCTTTGATCCAGTAACCTCATTTGCAATCCCACAATCCCTTCTCATCTGGATGGTCACTGGCTCGTAGGGACTGAGCTTATCCGTCATCGTGCGGCGTGACTGCCTGCAGGTATCCCAGAGACCCCAGTCAGTTACATACGTCGAAGGGTTGTTTGTGGCGCACACGGCCATAGCCTTTAGCTGCTCAGGGGGTATGGGGCAATCAGGCTTTGGGCCAAAAGCCCACTTGGGCGCTGTGAGATGGCAGGTGTCAGCCCAAGAAACCTTCGCGTCGTGCTCAGGTGATCCATCCTCGCAACCGCTGCTTAGGCTGAAGATTTGTATACCCGGCTTCGCAGGCCGAACTGCATCATTCCAGATTTCCATTTGCAGCTCTGCTGGAAGGTTTCCGAAATATTGAAATGAGTGAGGCATGTCTCTTCGTCGTGGGAAGGCGCTCACAGGAGAGATGTAAAGGAATGGTTTGGCTTGTTAGCACAGTTATGGATCATGCAGACAAGAGTTTTCATATGTTTGCGTTTCTCCTCACTAGAGTCGCTACATATCATTACTAAGGGTAGACGAACAATACCTTGCTCATGCTATCCAGCATTTTCACGTGGCAAAGTAGGTATTACGAGGTAAGCACCGTGATAACAAAACCCCATGAGAGAAATAAGCGCTTACATAGCAGGCATATCAATAACTAAGAAATGTACAGTAAAGATCGAAATCGGTTATCCCTTTTTTCTGTCTTTAGTTTATACCGCACGGACATTTTAGCCAAGGGGGTATTAATAACACAGTCGCGTCTCCTTATTTATACAGTATGAATATACCTGCTAACAGCTTATATACATAATCAAAAGCTAAACGCAATTACTCTACGGCAGATAATTAATCCTATCCTTTACTGTAGCTCTATATGCTTACCATTTCCTATATTATCTAGAAATAGGCGTTGCATTATTATTTTAAGAGTGGCTAAGACCTGACTCTATCGCCTCGATTGAATAGACGCTATCCCCTGTCTAATCGATTAAATGTATAGTATAAGAGCAATATTAAAGCTGCTTCACTATGACCCTGCTTATGCTGTTTTTGATCATAATGTGAACTTTCACGCTTGGTCTAGTTTTCCCCAACAATGAGTGCTAACCAAGACGAATATAAAATTGTGGGTCCAGAATCTCTTTGTTTGACGAGGGGCAGGGAAAGATAACCACCTATTGCTAAATGACCCCACAAAAAGCCCTTTGTGACGCGGCAATGCTCCACTACTTTCAGTTCTATAGCATTGTTTTTGGGCCCTTTGATGAAACGCATGGTATCTCCAAAAATCAGATTGCATCACACCATCTTGAGAAGACCTGGGGAATGTAACTTTATTGTCTTCACGTACTACCTTTTAGCTGCAGCTCTATCTCGTGGTTGATGATCATCGCCAAATGACGCTAGGAGCGGGCCGTGTGCTAGTTTGACTGTTTGATGAGAAGCTAAAATGGCTCATGATCTTGTGCTAGATATCTAGTACGGCATTTCACAAGGGTGTACTGCGTGATAAGAATTACAAAAATCTTCAATCTATTCCTGTATTATATTATATATAGATAAGAAGTTCAGAGAATTTTATACTTACCCCTTGCTATTATGTATTATCGCAAATGCGCAAAGACTTAGAGAAACACAGACAATGCGTTGCCCAAACCCTTACTTACCCTAGAACCGCCTGCATTATTTTTTTTCTAGATATTCTAGTAAATCAGCCTTGAAAGTAAGCTATAGCTTTTACTGGGGTCTTAAGCTGTATGATTAGTGACGGACCCGCTCCTAATAAGGATAATCCTAGTTACAAGCAAGGGAAATATGCCTTGCAGGGTTATACTTTAACCCTTTTCCTGCCTATTGTCAAGCGCTTAGGATTTCTTTTCTCTCCTAATTTATTAACTATTGCTAATCTATAATACCACCGATAAGCAATATTGCAAAAGTTTATTTCATTATTAGTTTTTAATTTCTCTTTATTTTATATTTATTTCTTCTATTATTTAATTTTATTCTTAATAGTAGATATCTCTGCCTTTTTTATCCTTATTCTAATATATATTTTCTTAGAGTGCTTCGTTAAAGCTAGTCGCTCTCTTAACAATGGTCTTGGTTTATTTGATTTTATCGGTTAACTAAATGGCACTCTTGTAATATTAACCCTATTGCCCTGACTACCTTGCTTAAATAACTATTATAGCTTTAAGATAGCTATTATATATACTCTTCCTCTTAAGGCTAATGCTATTAAAGCCTTATTTAACATTACTAAGATAATAAAGACCTGCCTTTTAATAAGGCGCTAGGTAACCCTAATACTTATTCTATAGGTATAATTAGCTACTATAATATTATCCTCTTATATATACTAAAGATAGGTATAGCTAATATAGCTACTATAGCCTTTAACTATAAAAAGAGTTTTCTAGGTATTAAACTTACCTTTATAGTTAGTATTTATAGTATTATTCCTTTTAAACTTAATAAAGATAAAATTATACTTAAAGATATTATTATTAATAAT